CTGGCTGAGGGGCTGGGGGACTGGGGGGCTGGCTGGAGGGCTGGCTGGGGGTGCTAGCTGGGAGACTGGCAGGGGGCTGGCTGGGGGGTTGGGGGACTGGCTGGCTGGGAGGCTGGGGGGCTGGCTGGCTGGGGGGCTGGGAGGCTGGGGGCTGGCTGGGGGGGGTTGGGGGGTTGGCTGGCTGGTTTTTATTTTGCTTGAGGATGATTGTGAGTTGACATGTTTGGTAAGAAGGTGGCATAAATCAACTGAGTCATAATAATCTCTTATCTGTTTTTGGTCTGTTTGACCCAGGAGTTTGTGACCTATGAAATCTTTACTTTTGGGGGTTTGCTAAAATATTTTACAGGGCATAGATTTTAATTGATACCGTAATGCTGGAAGTTAGCCAACACCGCCCAAAAGGAAAAGATGTGTCGGGATAAACTGGACAGAGCTTAAGAAGTTATATTAAAATTTGATGCAAGTGAGAGGAGAGAATACAGTTGGGAAGTCCCTTCCCTTTCTGAGCCTAGAACAAGAAGAACCTGCCCTTCACCCAGTGTTCCTGTTCCTTAGTGGCCTTCCATTTCACGACATCATGGCCAAGAAACTGTGCCCAAATCATGAGTTGCACATGTTCTCGTGTGAGGCTGAAGAAGCCTGTGGGTTGTTTATAAGGTATTGCATATCCAAGGCTACAGACATGACGGTGGGGACTTGGGGGAGTGCTCTTGTCTGGGAAGGGAAGCTTGCTAGACATTACAACTCTTGTCCAGAAGCCAAATGGAAGATAGATCACCACTGGCCACCTCTCTTATTGTTGAAATGGTTCAGCCCTGGCCTTTAAGTGGAGGACTCTCAGGGTTTTGAAGTGCAAATAAGATGGTGAAGGGTAAAACCTTTTAGGTCTTCATGTTGATGGATTTTTTTCCCCCCAGTGTGGGTTTCTAGCCCTGACTGTGATCTGGAATCGACCTTCAAAGAAAGGTCTTGTTTTGTTTTTGATCAGTCGAGCAATAAGAACTTTCCATAGGGCGTGCTTTCCACGAATGCATATGGATTCGTGGTATGCTTTCCACACATTCATATGGATCCATTGTGTTTAGAAGAAGATAATTTAATTGGATCTATTGGGAACCCTTTGCAAGGGTGCTGTCATTTCAAGGTCACATCTCTCTTGCTATTCATGCCCAAGTTTGAGAGTACCTACGGATGTGCTATTGTGCTCAGTAGTTTAGGAAAATTACTGTGAGCCAGTTCATGCTAGGCAAAGTCATTCTGTCATTCCTTAATCTTTTCCTATTGAGTTACCAAATTGTACACATTCATTTCATTACTTTGTGTATTTTTGCCAGCCTTCAAAATAAAATAAGAAATTCTGAGATTATTTTAAAAAAAAAATGTGCTGTGGGATTTATAAAGATGCTAAAGTAAGGAAGGAGACAGAAACATTCAAATAAGGGATGTTAGTTTATGGGACTCGTTTTTTTAATTCGCCAAATAATTTAAACAAAACAGATAAGACGTCTTTTAAATTTCATGGTGATTTTTGAAATATAAAGATGAGTCACTACAGACTACAAAGTCATGCCAATTTTAGCATAACTTAAAGGCTTTCTATGTGAAACTTTTAAAGAAAAATTAAAATATTTTACTAGGCAAATATCATTTATACTCCTCTCAGCTCATAGAAATCCCGTTGCTGAGCCTCTCCTCGGTCTTTCTGGGGTCCTCAGATGGGCCATGTGTATTTGTAGTATTTGCAATTTTTTTTTAAAAGTGAGAATGTATTTTTCTATAGCAGAGGTTTACCTCTGTGATTCTTGGTTGTTGTTATAAAAATGGTTGATGTAAAAATGGTCGTTAACTTCCACAAGTGACATTGATCACAGTGTTTTAATTTAACCTCCAGGTTGGTTTTTCCCTGTTTGTTCTTCAGAATTTCCCCCTCCTGCTATTTAAATATTAGAAATGTGCTTATTTGCCATTGGATTTGAAATAAGGACAAGACCCCAAATTCTAGATCAACAGACTCTCCTGTGTGTGCAGGTTCCTGGCACTGGTTTGTTGCTGGGAGACGCTCACAGGACCTCTCCTTTGTTAGGAGTCCTTCCCAGGATGCTCTCCTGACCACTGTCCTTTAAACCCAAGTTGGAGGCTGTCTAATTAATGAATAGTGAGCTTTTCTACTCTGAGCTACGCATATTGTTGACATTGGGTCACACGTTGCTTTTTAATTTCTGATGTTCTTAATGGATTTTTAATTTGCAAAGCATGAATGCTCCTTTCACAGCAGTAGAATAGTCAGCATTTCTGAGTCCAGATATTGCTCTATGCAAACAGGAAGGGGCAGGGTGAAGAGGGCTACACTGAATGAAGCCTTGGGTTCCCTGCAACACACAAGTCAATGAATTTCACTTTGAATATTGTTCCATAAAAGAAGGCACTTGAGAAAGGCCTTTCTTCCCAAGAACATCTCTTGCCTCTTGGCTAGTGAATTGCCCCAATATAAAAGCTCTGGGAGGAAAGTGAGCCGCAGAGTGAAAAGGCAATCCACAAATGATCAGTCTTTGCTGCCTTTGATTGTGTCAGATTTTGTTGTGTGTGTGGCAATTGTTTTCTTTTTCACTTAGAAGAGGTTTATGGTCCAGTGTCTGTCAAGTCAGACCCTGTGCGAAGGTTTCGGCCGTATTTCTCTCTGAGTTCCTGGAGGTGATGTTATCTTTTGTTCATTCAGCAGTGTGGGTGCTCTGGAGAGCATCTGTCACTCTAGGCATTCCAAGATGGATGGGTCTCCAGTGAACTGCTGGGTGAAGCAAATGGTGCAAACAAGAAAAGACAAGAGGTTACTGGGTCTGCGGGGGACAGACAACAGGGAAACCCTTAGAACTCGAGAGAGAGCGAGTACAAGGGTGGACAGTGTGGTTTACACACATCTTGCAGCTCAGAATCTTTTGGTGGCTTGTTGTGGTCTGAGGGAGTGATCTACATCATGGTAACATAACAGTTTTGTGCTTCTGATTTCCAAAGTGTGCATGTGTGGACATATATAAGTATGTATATGTGGAGAAAGTGTTGGGAAATGACAATAATGGTAGAGATGGTGCATGAAGGTTTTGCTCTAAAATGTTTTAAAGATTAAGCTAAACATTGAATGTTTAGCCATTTTGGTTTACTTTTCTCTTTTTTCCTTTTCTCTCCTTTCTTTTTTATAAGCAATGGGTAGCTAGTAGACGTTAAAATACTTGAAAAGTTTGGCTTCTAAATGCTTTTTGGCACTTCTGTGGGGGCCAGGGGAGGCAGTGGGTGGGTACTGAAAGTTCTGTGCTTTAATGGAGGCTGAGGGCGGGTTTTAAGTTATTTTAAATTATCTCCAATTTCATTTAATGGGTTCTGTGGTGGAAGAAAATATATAATTTTTATTGATCTGTCAGATGTTGGAGGTTCGTATTGGACTCGTTTTGCTGGGAATGGTCACAGTGTGTAAATCCTTACTCGTATAAAGTCCCTCCTGTGGGACAGAGAGGGAAGGAGGCTGCCTAGGGATAGAAGATGGGAGAGGAGAGGACAATGTAACTGAAAAACAAAAACGATTTTGTCAAATGCTTTGGCATTTGTCTATGAAAATGCCCATCGGTTGAAAGGCAAAGGGGCTGAGATGGTTGGAAGTATCTCCTTCTCCGTGGGCGTAAATAATAAATGAAAGAGGAAGAATGACAACAAAGGGCCGGGCCCTTTAAGAAAATGTGTGCAGCCTGAATAGGGGTCTGTGGCCCAGGGCCAAAGGTCTTAGCTTTGAGTGTAATTAGAAGAAAATACAAAAATGTCATTACTAGCAGGTGAAGTGTGCAGCACGTGGCTAAAAATTAGCAATTTTAGACTCCAAAGCTATTGGAATTGGATTATTGACCTTTTTAAAAATCATTAAGGTGCTTGCAGAGTCAGGCAGTTCTCATCAGCAGTAATGCAGTTTGACCTCATTGACCATCTGGGGTAATCTTGGGTTTGGATTAGGTGGGAAGGTTCCCGATTCCAGAAGATGCTGTTTGTGCATGTGTGCATGGGAAGTGTGTGAGCTCGGAAATCCAGGGCCTGTATTTTTCACTATTCTTTTGTGAGAAGGCATTCTTCCAATAATGAGAGGGTAAGACAAATGTTTTTATCCCCAAATCTGAAATGTTTCTTTCCTCTCTTTCAAGTTGACATAAAAAAGAAAGTACAAAAACATTTTCTTATACATGACTTCATGTATTTTACTGTTATAAACATTCATATTGCACTTAGTACATTCTTACAAAACTGAGACTCTTTAGTTTACTTTTTAGACACATTAAGAATTACTTCTAAGTTATATATAAAAATGAATGACAAGGTGTTTACTTCATTTAAGGCTTTACCTATTTATCATATTTTTCATGCAATAATTTACATCGACCATAATTTACATAATGGGCAGACCATTCAACCAACTGTAGATAATTATAATTAATATCTCCTAGAAATGCACTGCTCAGAAAGGTAGGAAATAGTTCTTTCTCTTCTTGCAAGTTTTCTTCCTGGAAATCGTTTCAGATTTTCAAAAAGCACAAAAATATTATTTCAGTATTAATTATACAAGACCTTTTTATATATCTTTGAATAAATTAATTTTAGACAAACATCAGGGATTGTAAAATTCCCAAACACTCCCAAATAAGAAAAGTTATCTTACACTAATTCTATTCCGAAATAGAAACAGTTTGTGGACTTTTACTGTTATGGTGACCTGTCCAGCTTGCCCTGAGGAAAGGGTGGGGACCTAACAGAAACAAATCACTTTGGATATATATTTGAGGGAGGTTGTTTGGGGGCCTTAGGAAGAGGGAGCATCTTTATATTTCCCCTTTTAATGAGTAGAGCTAGGTAGGCTCTGGTAACATCTGTGATTTTGTAGAATTTTAGATATATAGATTATTATATTGTAGAATAAAGGACACTTGGAAATAACTTGTGGTTTCGTGCATTATATGTTTTTATAGGTGCAAAGGACCCTGAAGAACATTGTGATTTCAGACAAGCTCCCTGAGATGTTGACTGCCTAGCTTAACCGTGAACATGATTCAAAAATGTTAATGTATGAACCAAGGTAGTGTATGACTGTGTTCCTCTTCTCAAACTTTGCATTGTCAAATTGATTTTGTTTGATTGCTTTACAGATTAAATAAAGCAACTGGGTTTGGCCCTTAAACTAGCTAAGTGGGTGCTTGTGTGCCCTCCACCCTTAGATGTTCTTCCCCGCCTGATGCCTATCTGCTCTCCATCTTCTCAATGCTCCAGTTAGATTTACTCAGAAATAGGATTTCCCCACCCCCCAACTCACTCTGTATTTCCTGTCTACATAAATTGAAAAACTGTGAACTCAAGGGCTAAAGAGAAGGCTGGGTGGGTAGGAGCACTCAGGCTTCTTGGGAGGACGGAGGTTTTCCCATCGGCCACGCCAGGTGCCCCACCTGAAACGCCAGCTCCAAGAGGCTTTTGCACGGGCCTTTTATGGCCTCCGTGGCATCCATACACATGGCATCCCACACTCAGACACGCACACGCATACACTCAGATAAAAATAAATCTCTTTAAAAAGTTTATTTTTCACATCTTGGTTTGAATTTTTTTCTTTTTTTTTTTTATTATTTGAAATTTTACACTATGTCTTAATCATACTCACCCTCACTCCCTCCAAGAATGCACTTTTTAGTTCCTCTTTGGTGATAATAATTTTCTTTCCAGTTATCTGATAAGAGACTTCACGGCTCTTGGTCATACAGAAAAACCCAACCTGTATTTAGTGATCACATATATTTAAAATTCACATGATACTGTGCTACCGAGGTTTTAGTAAGATGTTTCTGGCTTTACTCTTAGAAGACTTTTAATTCAGAGGGGAAAGGGCGGTACTGGTTCACCCTCTTCCAATACCAAGGGGAAACTTGTTAGGTTTAGAATGACTGTTTAGCTGACTCGGCTTTTGGAAGGAACTTAGGGCAGACTCTCCGCTCCGCTTCGGGGGAAGTGGGCCATGCGTTTAAACAGCCCGGTGTTTTCAGAGGAGGCCAAAGATCTTTTCCTTTTTATGACCTATTGTGTCCTTTCGGGACCAGAGAAAACAAGAGGGTCATTCCCACTTCAGCACAGCCCCTGTTTGTCCCTTAGTGGTGACCACGAAGGAAGACACTGAAACCCAGTATTGGCCTAACATCTGGGAAGTGGTTGGGGGTTGGGGGGACAGAAGGGAGAGCGATAACTGTTGCATTTTGTTTCACCAGGTGCTAGGAGGAAGCAACATTAGCCTTTTGATATGGGAGGCAAAATCTGTGGGCCCTGGCGTTAGGCTTCAACAGTTGAAGAGGTCAGAGGACAGCTGAGTGGGGTCAGCAAGACACCATGGGGCGTATTTTGTTACTTAGTAAAAGGAGTAGCCTCCTAAAACCTTAAAGGATTCCCTTGGAAATCTGTGTTGTGAAAAGGTTTTATGAGTCTCATGGCAATAACTCCTGATTTATCTGAGGAGCGCTAGCTTTTGTCTAATGGAAGGATAATCCTCACCAAATGTTAGTGAGGACTGTTAGACTCAGCATAGGTCTGAAAGAGTAGTTAGGATTTGAAGCGTACTTCACTTTCCAGAGCGTTTATCATTTTAATGTTTCTGTCACAAGGAAGAATTTTGCACTGTTGAATTACCACCTTTTTTTTTTCCCCTTTTCTTTTCTTGGAACAGAAAGCAGGGGAGTGTTTGGGTAGGGAGCTGGTCACATTAATTTAAAAATTATTCTACATGCTTTAGATCTTTCATGTACACAGAAAACTGTTACTAAACCGTTTTCAAATACCAAAAGTCATCTTTTAATTCACTTTTAACTTATTGATAGAGGGCATACATGAAACATGAAGATGTTTCTGGCTCACAGGTTTTTAAATTTTTAGTTCTTATTATTTTCTATGTATACGTGTGACTCTGGGGATTGAACTCAGTACCTTATGCATACTAGGCAAGATTTCAACCACTGAACTACAGCCCTATCTTATAGACTTTTAATTTTAACTGTTAACGGTTGATGGGAGGGGACTATAAGCTGATGAATAACCACAAATCCCACACTTCCCCCTGAATGTTTTTCTTTTTTCTCATATATATTGTATCAGGAAGGAAAAAAAAAAAAACAACAACCAATGTCAAAGCCAAGAATAAAAATGCTCTGTTGTATAGTCCAGAGGTAGAGCAATTGCCTAGCATGTGAGGCCTTTGGTCCTGTCCCAGAACTGACAAAGAACGGCCATACAAGAAGGGATGGATGATGGATGCTGTCTTTGAAAGGAGGGTAGAGAATCTGTTTGTTGTGAGAGGTCTGCTTGCTTCAGTAGTGACTTCGGAGAGATCTGGATGGCCTGTGAATACCTTCAAAGATAGGTAACGCCTCCTGGTAAATAGGTAATGGCAGAGTGGTATGAGGCTTTGGCAGTATTTTGATATTTCGCTTTATGTATTATGCATATATACAGATATAGAAAGAAAGTATATATGTCAATATGTAAAATTAAGAAAAGCCATGAGTATGATAGGCCTTGTTAAATTGGTAAATTTTGTAAATTAGTGTTGTAGTTAACGTATTTACTAGCTACAGGCATGAGACTTTTTTCCAATCCTTTCAATAACAACAGCTCTGTTCAAGGAACACATACATGAGTGTCTATTTTCTCAAGGTTAAAGCTCCTTTCAACAGCTAATTTAGAAACGTGAGTGCGGGGACTGATAATTGCCTAGAGAAAACGCACAGCTGTTTAAGTAGCATTGAAATTGTGGCAAATCTGACAAGTGCAATCAGCAGAGTTAATAAGATAACGAAAGACTGATGGCTGGGGGGAGGGAGTTGTGGCGTGGGGGTGGGGAGTGGGGGGGAGCTGAAGCAGGAACTCCACGCCCTGACAGGAGGTTCGTCCTCTGTGAAGCTGTGTCCTCCTTTTATTTAGTGTTCTCCAAAGTACAGCAGAATGTGTTGCTTCACAGCTGCAAAATGCAGGTGGATTTGTAAAAAGCCCCAAACTCATATCTCATTGGAAAAGAAGATGTTTGATGACAGTATCTCAGAAAAATGATCAGATTTTGCTGATTCTGAAGCTCAGTTTGTTTGCTGGCCTTGGATGTATGTGTGTTTTACTGTTCTTGCTTTGAGCCTAGGTTTCTTCAACTTTCTCTGCAGTTTTAATTCTTACCCAAGTGCAGGATAAGGGGACCCTGTTTCTAGATTAGGTAACCCACCATTACCTCAAACCAAACAACACATCTAATGAGTTAAAGCTCACTCTCTAAACAATCATTTTTAAAAAATGGTTGGGGATGGCTAAATAAGAAATTTAAAAATGTCATTATCTTTGCCTTTGCTGCTATACTTTCATAATTACCATTGACATTTAGAAAGTCATTTTAGTGGTATCTTTAAAAATTGCCTTTGCAGTTGGGAAATTAGCTTTTTCCTCTGGAGTTTTATGCAAATCTTAGTCCCCACAGAAGTCCCTTCTCCGGAGTCACGATTGTCCTGATGGATGTGGTGGCCCACACTTTGGAAGCTTTTCTCATTATTTAATGTTTTTTGTTCTCAGTTATTGACTTTTCTCCCTATTGAAAAACTGGTCTCTGGTGACATGGTGGGGGTCAGGCAGAAATTATGCCAGTTCCAGAGAGTCCTGACAAAATACGTTTGTTTTACAGGAAGGTTCCCAGTAAGAACATTGTGTCCCTTTGTTACAGAGAGAAGCAGTGTTCTGCTTCATCTTCCTATCACTATGAATTGGCTGGGTACGTCACAGTGATTATTTCCGTAATTACTGAGGATATTTGTGTATGTGCTGAAAATGTTAGAATTAAGAATTTAGAATTAAGTTACTAAGGCTTCTTTAAAAAAAAAAAAAACAAAAAAAAAACAAAAAAAAAAAAACAAAAACAAAATCCAGAACTTTTGTCTTCAGAACCTGTCAAAATAGACATTCCCTAATCTCGTTTAGATGTACGAAGAGGCCAAAGCATCGTCTTGTTTTGTTTGGGTGTTTGAGGCAGGGTTTCTCTGTGTAGCCCTGGGTGTCCTGGAACTCATTCTGTAGACCAGCTGGGTTTGAACTCAGAGATCTGCCTGCCTTTGCCTCCTGAGTGCTGGGATTAAAGTCATATGCCCAGCTTTTCAGATCTTCAGCAAGCAGGTTAGATAAATATTCAATATAACAGGTTTATTTTGAATGTGTACTTAGCTTTATGCTTTATTGGAATGTGCTTAGAAAGAAATAGCATTGCTTCAAATCTGCTTAATATATAATTGGATAAGACACACAAAAATTCAATCCCCCCTTCTTTTACTCAATTCTAGTTTCACAAAATATCTACCCCTTCCAAAAACAAAACAAAACAAAACAAAACAAAAAAAAAACCCACAATCAAATAAAGGAGTCAAACAAATACTAAGCTCAGCTAATACAAATAACTAAGGATAGCAATGTCTATTTAAAAGGATAAACAGAGCTGAGATTTAGCTCAGTAGCAAAGCACATACCTAGCATACAGGACTGGGATTGAATCCCAGCACCAGTAACTAAATACAGTATAATTCGAAGAAAGTGAGTTGTGAATGTGTGTTTGTCTTTAGTTTGGGGAGGGAGGCCCCATATGAACCTCTAAGAATTGAGGTTGGTGTGTTTGTCTGAGAGCTGCATATATCACTCAAACAGCAACAGAGCCCATGGTCTCCGCATGCTGAGAACACTCTCTGCCCCTGAGCTCTAGCCTCACATTTGGGAAGAAAGAGCATAGAATCTATCACGCAACACGATAGCTATGTGTGAGTGGCTCATGCCCTAGTACCTACTGTGACACCCAACCCGCTCAAAGGGAACAGTTAGTCTTCTCTTAGTGATCTAAATGTTGCAAATGTTGAGACACCAAAACTACTAGCCCCTTATGCACATGATACTACACAGGCCCATTTTGACTCAATATATTCAGAGTCTCTGTTAGTCTCATAAAAGCCAAGGGATTGGCCATCTTGGCTCCATTTCACCAATGAGAGATGAAGCTGACCAGTATCATCCAGGAAACTGTAGGCCAGG